GAGAAGGATGATAAAGGAGGAGGGTTGTGTTTGGAGGATAGCATTAGTGGACTTTCTAATGATGTCATTGTTTCAATCTTGCGATCGCTATTGATAATGAAAGAAGACTTTCTAATGATGTCATTGTTTCAATCTTGTGATTGCTATTGACAATGAAAGAAGCTGGAAGAAGTAGTCTGCTTTTAGAGAGATGGACGTACATGTGGAGTTACATTGTTGCTTTGTACTTTGATGCCTCACATAGCATCTATGCGATTCTACTAGCTGATAGCTGTGTAAAGGAAGTTGAAGCACAAAAGCCTTTGCATTTGAGTTGGGTTAATCAAGTCGTGAAATCTCACAACGCTCCAACTATAGATGAATTCAAAGTTCATTTTGCTCTTGATGTAACTTGTAGATTTGACATTGACAATTGGCTTGACTTTGCAATTGGAAAGAAAGTTAAAAGTCTTGCCTTAGAATTCGAACAAAGGACTGGAAATTCTAGAGAAGAGGGAGATAATTACAATTTTCCTGACACAAATCTCCTACATTCAAAGTCTCTTGGGTTTACTAACTGCATCTCCCTAACCAACCTCGTGTAGTCATACATGGATGTAACTGGACAAGTTCTCGAGTACCTCTTAATCAATTGTCCATTTTTGAAACAATTGTTTGTGGATGAATCTGAAAGTCTCGTAAATTTGAAAGTTGCTAATCTAGCGGTCAAATTGAAGCGTTTGGAGATAAATTTATGCTTCAATGTGGAAAGTGTTGAGATTTATGCAATGAATCTCGTGTCATTTAAGTACTTTGGATCAAAGATAAATATGCCATTCAAGAATGTTTAGGAGCCTGTTGATTTGTTTATTGGGGGTGAGTATTGCAACCATGTAATTTGCAACTTTTTCGAGATTTCAAGCTATCTTTCTCAGCTAGAGAGCCTTACATTGGCGATAATGTACATCGAGAAGGTTAGTAAGTTTGACCTGTGTTACCTGGACTCGTCGTCTCCGGTGAGGGTGTCCGTGTCGACACGACACGACACCGACACGGACTCGGGATATGCGTCCAACCTTGTGCGGTCAAGATCGGACACAACCATTGAAGAAAACCTTTGTTTCAATGGTCGAAAATTATGGTCGGAAATTTCTGGTTTCATCGCGTTTTCAGGAAGAGGTTTTGGAGAAGACGATGGTTCTTCACGCGTTGGTTTTGCATAGAAACCTACCCTATTTGGAGCGTCCCACTCACGCATAAACTTGACACCACTCACGCGTAAACTTGACAACCTGTCATTGTCGAGAAACGTAATAGAGTGTGTGTGTATATATATATGGTAGTATATATATATAATTATTTAGTGGGTTACCAGTTGTAACCCACTAACCATGTACATGTTGACCATGTACATGTTGACCGACATAAAAAAATAGGTGTAATTTTACATTTTTGACCTTATAATTTATGATGGAAAAATTAGAAAAGATTGGGTAGGATTCAGTTACGGGATTTCTGTTCTTTCTTCCTCTTGTGTGTGACTGTGTGTATACATATATATGGGTTTTTTTTTTTTTTTTTTTTGACAAGAATAACCTAATTTATTACTCTTCTTATATTTGTAAGTTAATACAATTATGTAATTTTGTACTCATGAAAAATCTTTTCCGCAGTTTTATTTTATTTTTTGTTTTTCCCTCTATGTTTTTTTCAGAGTTCATATTGCCGACCAGCAGTGCAAGAAACACTGTGAGATCACCATCGCCCAGGGAGCATTGTAAGAGGGATTCATTGGATTCGGCCGGACTCAATATTTTAATTTTGACTTCTCACCGGAATCTGTGGATTCCGACCGGAATCATTCTTATTAAACATGGAGTAGTAAAATAAACTATGAGAAATTTGAGTTCCATTTATTCCAATTTGAATCCATGATTAATTTAGTTTGATTTTGAAATTATTGAGTTCATAAAATTACAACAAAATTATGATTTAATTGATGAAAGGAAAATAGGAATGTAACTTTTTTTTTTTTAGAAAAAAGGAAATTATAGGAATTTGAAGAGTAAAAGGAGGGGGAAAAAAAAAAAAAAAAAAAAGGGAAATAAGAAATAATTTTAGTAAATGAAGATTTTAGATATAAAGGACAATAATTAAAAGATCAAATTATGATTTAATTGACCAAAGGGAAATAGGAATGTAACCTTCTTTTTTTTTTAAGAAAAAAGGAAATTATAGGAATTTGAAGAGTAAAAGAAGAGGAAAAAAAAAAAAGGAAATAAGAAATAATTTTAGTAAATGAAGATTTTAGATATAAAGGACAATAATTAAAAGAACAAATTATGATTTAATTGACAAAGGGAAATAGGAATGTAACCATCTTTTTTTTAAGAAAAAAAGGAAATTATAGGGATTTGAAGAGTAAAAGAAGGGGAAAAAAAAAAAAAAAAAGGAAATAAGAAATAATTTTAGTAAATGAAAATTTTAGATATAAAGGACAATAATTAAAAGATCAAACTTATTTGCTTTGACTTTTCAAAATGGATGACTAATATAGGAAATCTAAAAATAATATTGTCTAAAATAATAAAAGGTTTTTCCCATAATTAAATCTCATAAATCCATTAAAAAGGGTAAATAAATACTTATGCATTTTTTATATAACTTTCATATAAAAAATATTGAAAGTAAACTAATTTCACATTAATTACTAGTCATGTTTGAGGTTTATAAATATTCTAAAAAATATTATATACATTATATTTAAATTAATTAACTTTTTATCCCATATTTAAAGCTTGTATCTTACACACTCACTTATTGCTAAGAAAAATATATAATTTTCTTATTACTCATTAATCATGTTTAAGGGTATAAATATCCTACAAAAAAAATTTAAATTTATATTACTTAAGTTTCTTTTCTATTTAAATCTCACATACCCATTTAGTAGTAAGATAATTATATAAATAAATACACATTAAATTATTTAATTTGTTTACAAAAATATTAGAATAAAATTAAGTATTTAACTAAAAAAAAAAGCTTATATTTAAGTAATTAACTATATAATTCACATTGAATTATATTTGTCCTAATTAAACACATTCAATTAAGGAAGCTTTGGAAAAAAAAATAAAAAAATTAAGGAGGTTATAATAGTATAGTAATCCTACATGACTATATAATTAAGGATAGTGATAGATGGGCCGATAATTTTGGCAGAATATACATGGCAATCCAGGTAAGCAACTCTAACAATTAAAAAAAGGAAAGAAAATAAAAGGGGAAACAATATATGCATACGCAGATTCATCTTTCCCAGGCTGTCAAATTCTAGGCTAAGTATTTGATAGTTATTAAATCTCTCTCTCTTTGTTTCGTCTCTTCAAACAATATTTCTTACCTTTTGATTTTTAAAGTATGGTTACAATTTCATATCATATATCATATTCTTATATATATTGTATCATATGTGTAATTTTTTTTTTTGAAGGTAAATATGTGTATTTATTTATTTGATTATATTGTTCATTCACAGTCTTTAAAAAATTTTCAAAGAGATATTAGAGAGAGAAATAGAATAAGAAGAAGAAAGAAATGAGATAGAAGAGATGAGAGAGAGAGATGAAAATGGCTTAGCTGGTTGAAATGACAGATGAGAGAGTAATCGGTCAAATACTTCGGTTGAAATTTCATTTTTCTATAATTAAATACATGAAATTAAGAAGGCTACACTAATATAGTGATCCTATTACCTATATAACTATATAATTTAACACGTGTAATTAAAAATCTCACACTAATATAGTGATCTATATATAACTATATAATTAAACGCATTGAATTATGGAGACTATATATACTAGTATAGTGATTCTATATAATTATATAATTTAACACTTGTATTTATATGATTTATATCTATATAATCAAACACATTGAATTAAGGAGGCTGTACTATTAGTATAGTGATCCTGTATAACTATATAATTAAACACATTGAATTAAGGAGGCTATATATATATATATATATATATATAACGATCGTTCCTATATAACTATGTAATTAAATAAGGCTTAATTTAATTACTAATTAATTATAATTTAAGTTGTTAATTACATGAATGTAGTCACTTTCATAAGAACTAGTAATTCAATACGAACTAGTAGTTCCATAGCAACTAATTACAACCTTGGGTAGTCACATCATCAAATTGGAGGCTGAGAAGATTTTTTTGCATACAATGATACAAGTTATGCACAAGTGTACAACTGACAAGGTTTTATATATTGCAAAAAATAACATATTGGAGGTGGGAGTTTCTTTTGCATTTAATGCATACAAGACAAGGGTTTGAAAAGTTGAAATCCAATGTATATGTGGCTGTGGCCCGTAGGTTTGGTAGAGTGCATGGAGATTGGAGGCGATGGAGTGTTAGACTCATTATACTCTACCAAACTCTTATTTCTCGGACACCACATCTCTCTCATTTGCTGAAAGTCAGATAAACATTGAGCTTCAACAATAATCTTATCTGCAAATACGGAAGAAGAACAGGTATATACTCAAATCAAATGGTTGGTTTTTTATTCCTCTAAGTATTTTTTGATTTCAACAATAATCTCATCTTCAAATAGGGAACAAAAACACGTTTATACTCAAATCAATTGGCTAGTTTTTATTCCTCAAACTTTGAGCTTCAACAAAAATCTCATCTACAAATAGGGAACAAGAACAGGTATATACTCAAATCTATTGGCTGGTTTTTATTCCTCAAGTATTTTTTGATTTTAAGTTTCAAAGTAATGGCCGAACTGCCAAGTTGGTGCTGCTAAGTTGTTAACATACATCTTAAGTATTTCGTATTTTCTCATTCTCTTGTTGGTGCTGCTAAGTTGTTGCTCCCTTAATGTACTAACAAATTAAAAATTACATTTAGTGTGTATAATTATATTTATTGCTTATGTGTACTTTGTTTATTTTTTTTATTACTTTGTATACATTCTTTATTTTCTAGATGTCTGCCAAAGGAAAAGGGAAGGTAAACCTAAGACCATCAAAAGCTCAAAGAACTGAATTTGATGACAAACCACTATGGAATCATGTGAAAGTTCTTAGCCTACCAACACGTGGAGGTGGAAATAAAAATTGGTATTGCAATTATTGCAAGAAAAAGGTTATAGGATCATATTCAAAAGTCAAGGGTCATTTATTGAAGATTCCTAATCAAGGGGTTGAAGCTTGCAAGTCCATAAGCAATGATGTATTTGAAGCACTAAAGAAGGAACATGTGCAATCTGAAAGCAAAAGGGCACAACAGGAACTGAATGTGAGAAAGAAGGAAGAGTATTTATCATTGCCTGAAGGATCAGATTTATTGCAATGCAAAAAAAGAAAGGGATTAGCTCCAGGAGCTCTAGAAAATTCATTTAATGTAGCACAAAGAGATGAAGCAGATAAACAGGCTGCCCGCATGTTCTACGCATGTGCCTTATCCTTTAACTTCGCAATGTGCCCTCACTTCAGAAAATTTTCACTCACATTAGCCAATAGCAAGTTATCTGGCTATACACCTCCAACATTCGACAGATTACGAACAACATTGCTGGCCCAAGAGGAGGCACATATTAATCGAAAGCTCCAACCGATAAAAGATAGCTGGAAAAAGAAAGGCATGTCCCTTTGTTCAGATGGGTGGTCAGATAGACAAAGGAGACCACTAATAAATGTAATGGCTGCATCAGTAGGTGGTGCTATGTTCTTGAAGGCAGTTGATGCAAGTGGCAACATAAAAGATGCTGAGTATGTAGCAAATTTGTTTATACCAGTGATCAAAGATGTGGGAGAACACAATGTTGTTCAGATCATTACTGATAATGGGAGTAACTTTAAGGGTGTTGGGGGTATAATTGAGAATACATATCCTCACATCTTTTGGACTCCATGTGTTGTGCATTGCCTAAATTTGGCACTAAAAAGCATTTGTGAACCATCTGAAACCTCACCTCAATATACTCATTGTAAATGGATTATTGATTTGGTGAGTAGTGTTCAAAATATAAGAAATTTCATTGTTAACCATGGCATGGTACTCTTAATTTTCAATACTTACTCGGAATTGGGTTTACTAAGGGTAGCGGAAACAAGATTTGCATCAAGCATAATCATGGCAAAACGTTTGAAAGAAGTGAAGGATGCACTTGAGAAAATGGTGATGGATCCAACTTAAAGAAGGCTTCTAAAAGGAGATGGAAAGTCAGCAATTGAAATCAAGGCTAGGGAAGTTAAAAAATGCATTGTGAGTGATAGTTGGTGGGATGACTTGGAATATCTCTTGGAATTTACTGAACCTATTGTTGATTTTTTGAGGTTAGCAGACACTGATGCCCCTGTTCTCCATTTAATTTATGATATGTGGGACACAATGATTGAGAAATTTAAATTCAGAATATTTGCTAGCTCATGATAAATAAGATATGCTGACTGGCCAATCAAATTTCTTTGATGTCATTCACAATATATTGGAAACAAGATGGAATAAAAGTAGCAATCCACTGCATTGTATGGCTCATTCATTGGTTCCTAAATACTACACTGAAGCTTGGATTAGAGGTGGAAGTGATGGAGTTCCACGGCTCTCACCACATGAAGATCAAGAGGTCTCTTTAAATAGAAGTAAATGTTTCAAACAATTATTTAGCAATCAAGATGATCTTCGGAAAGTTTATATTGAATATGGAGCTTTTTCAAGTGGATCCGATTACTTCAATGAGCCTCATGTTATTGATGCAAAATTGTATGAGAAACCAATTTCATGGTGGGCAAATCATGGTTCTTCAACACCAATGTTACAAGCTTTAGCATTCAAGCTTCTGTCACAGCCTGCATCATCATCTTGTTGTGAAAGAAATTGGAGTACATATTCTCTTATTCAAAGCATCAAAAGAAATAAATTGACTACAAGTAGAGCTGAGGATTTGGTCTTTGTACATTACAACCTCCATCTCATGTCAAGAAAGAAGAACGAATACAAAGAAGGGCCGACAAAGTATTGGAACTTATGTAAGTTCACTAACTAACTACTTTTAAATTTTAATATCTTCAATAAACTTCTAAAAATATTCTTCTTCTGCTTAATGATTTTTTTTTTTTTTTACATCAATGTTAATTTATTTTGTTTAATAGGTGGTGATAAGTTTGATATTGATGGTAATACTCTTGGGGAACTTGCTGAACTTTCCATCAATGAGCCAGAGTTAGAGTTTATAACATTTGATGATGCATTTGAAGAAGGGCAAGAGGCTGTCTTAGGGGCTGAAGTTGAACCACTTGAAGAATTCCAACAAGGAATGATGGATTGAAGAAAAAGAAATGAAGCAGTTTAAAGATAAAAGAACCATACCTTGGCTTTTGAGTTTTGATTTTTGCTTTTCTAGTTTAATTTTTTGAGTTGTTGAACTTAAATGTTGTCTTGTTTCCAAGTTGCCAACTTGTATGTTACTCTGTTAGTAACTTAGTACTTGGTTCAGTGCTTGGTAATACTGTAATAGTATACTTTGAATGTGTCTATGACTTTATGATATAAATTATATAATTGTAGTTTAAACTTTGAACTTTTAAAGTCTTCAATTTACTCTAAACTTAAGTTCTTAACTTCTCAAGTCTTTAACAGGTGAAAGTGAATGATATACTCATTTAGGCATTTAGGCTATTTAGCAACCAGCAGGTATGCTTCTCTATCCTTATGCTTAACAATTTAGCATCTGTTTATTTTTTTTAATAAGTTCACAACATAAGATAAATTTCAATTTAATATTTCAGGTGCAAACTTACAAAGTGTGGATTGTGCAAGTGTGATTAGTGGTGATATACTGATATGTAATTGAAGGCTAAAGTCACTAAAGTATTATAGTGCAGTGCAACTGTACAAGTGCAAGTGTGGGAATTCAGTATTCAGTATTCAAAAGAATCACAATAAAGTGAAAAACCAATAAGGTACTTATAAGTTATAATTATATAATTTATATCATACTAAATTACTAATATACTGTCATGTATCACGCATTCATGTATGGTTGTATGCCTAACTGCCTATATATATGTCTTTAATACTCCAATATACTATTTTCTATGCCGTGTCCAAGTACCCATGTCCGAGTTTTGGACACTTTTATTCCATGTCCCCGTGTCCTATAATTTAATAGATAGATGGATCCGACATCTAGACACGTACCCGAGTCCAACACCCCTACCCGAGTCCGGATAACATAAAGTTTAACTATCTAATTCATTTTATTTCATCCCCTTCATTTTTACTTTATTCTTTTCTAACATATTATCAATCCGTGCTGATTTACTTTTTCTTTGGTTTATTCAGAATAAAATTCAGTTTGCTAAATTCTCTGTATTTAATAAGCTCAAGCAACTGAAGTTGAGTCTTAGTACGGATGATGGTGATTGCCTTCTGATTTTTACTCCCCTCATGGAGGTATGTCCTTTCTTGTATAAATTTGTCTTGGAGGTAATAAGTCTTACTTTACCACTTGTATTTCTAAAATTCACATAGTTTATTGCTTTCTAACTGAATTTTCAAATGGAAATTTTGACTCATTTTGACTTCAGCTTAAAAGCTTTTAAATTTTCCAAGTAATTGCTTCTTTTTATGGCTATTACAAATTACCGTACTACCACTAACAGGAAAAATGTTGTTATAGTGCTTAGCTTGCTCTATTTTCCGGATTGTTCAAGTAATTTGTAAATAAATAAGTATTATTTTGTTGTTCTTTACTGCCCGAGAGTTTCACGTGGTCTTTTAATATATTACACGTCATTCTTAGATTGCTTTACTCTCATGATTGTTAATCCATCTGTTGTCATTTCTTAGGCATCTAAACTTGTTTTGATTTTTTTATTTCTTAAATGCTTCAGGAAAATTTTTACTTTTTTTTAAATTTTTTATGGATTGATTAAAGGTCTCTATTAATTTGCATGTCCGCTTAATTTTACGTTTAAGGCAGAATAGTTATTTATGATTCGGTGACTAATATCAAAACAAAAAAAATTCCCCAAGCCTTGCAATGTTATGTTGTGATTCTAATTTGCCTGAATATGGTTGGTAATTTGGTTTTGTATGCTAAAGCTTTACTTGCATTGTATGACTCCATTACTCCTCCTCCTCGTAACATCTTACATTTGTCAATCTCAATCACAGAAGAAAATGGCGAAGTGTGAGAAGTTGGCCCCATCGGTACCTTAAGGTGGTGGAATTCATTGGGTTCGTTGCTCAAATAACCGATCTTGAGCTTGCAATGCATTTAATCAGGAGTGCTCTCAATTTTGAGAAGATTACTTTTGAGACTTGCACACCCTCCATTTGAGTTTACGGAGACCAAGCAGAAAGTTGAAATTTTTTGAACCAAACTCCCTGTCGGAGCAACTTTGGTGATCCTTTAATTAGTTATATGTTTGTATTATCTATTTATTAGTACGGTTGTAAAGTGGAGAGATCTTATTTATTTATTTAATAATAATAATAATGGGTTGTGCATCATTAGCACGGTTTCTTATCCACATTTATAAAATAAACACATTAGCAAATACTTCTGTACTTCCCAACGCGCATGAAGAAATGAGCCTATAAGTGTTCTGTTTTTTTTTTTTCCTTTCTAATATGCTCTAAAGCAAAACCTGTGATTATTCTATTTTTCTCTAGAAAAACGACTTGGACCAGATTTATGTAGTACACTGCGAGGATGTGAATAAATGATACTTATTACTTACATCTCGAGTCAACTTTATTTTTTAATTAATTTAAATTTATTGGCGTGAATTCACAAATTGGAAGTTTTTTTTTTTTTTTTTTTAATAGAAAATTTGACAGATTAATTTACAAATTTATACATTTATTTATTAAACGTCAATAATTATCCTTTATAATTCAAAATTATTTTATTTTACTATTCTACATATAAAAAGGCTGAGCCCAACTCACATCATTTCATTGGCAAGCCCAAAAACTTAATTCATTAACCTATCTCACAGCCCCTTAGATTTAAAAGCATCTCAACCGTTGGTGTGCTAAAGTCGAGACATAATGATAACCCTGTGTCAGATGAGCTGTTCAGTTCAGAGCGCAACTCTCTATCTCTCTCTCAGGGATATGATGATCTGAAGGCGCAAGATTTTGTAAATTTTTGTTTCATCACGAAAATCTCTTGTGTAAATTTTCAGAGACAAAATAGGAGGAATCTACAAGATCTTGTAAGTTTTGCTTTCATTATTAAATTTTGTTCTGTAAATTTCCTTTTTCCTTCTTGTGAGAAACAAAAGATCGGATTTTTTCTTTAATTTTTTTTTCAAGAATCAGCAAATTAGGAGGAATCTACAAGATCTTGTAAATTTGTTCCGTAAATTTTCTTTTTCCTTCTTGTGAGAAACAAAAGATCAGTTAAACCAGTATTAGTTACTTATTTATTTTTGAAGGTTAAACCAGTATTATTTATTTAGTTGCCTAATCCTAGTAGGAAACATACTACAGAATTACTTACTTTCCAAGTTGGTACAAACCCAATTAACGTTACTTTCCAGACTCAATTTAACGCCCTTAATCTATATAAAGTTGTTTTCGTTTCCAGACTCGACACAAAATTGCTCCCTCTTTTTTTTTTTTTTTTTTTTCTGCTCTCTTGTTTGGTTTTTATATCTCTCTAATCAGTTCATCTTCTCCTGCTGCTATCTCCTATTGGATCTGCAGATTTATTTGTTAAAATTATGCAGAAAACTGTGAGTTCAAATCCCATGGAGAAAACCACCTCAATATGTTGTGCTCAAAACGCAAGGTACCATCTTTTTTTAACTTCTGTATCTATGGATTTCTATGCCTCTTTTATATTTTTTATTTTTAAATAAATGAAGATATTTTGTTACAAAAATTCAGCACTACTATGGTGTTTCTTTATCTCACAGTTTTTTAATTCTTATTATTACTTTAATCTTTTATTGGAATAGTGAGAAGGATGATAAAGGAGGAGGGTTGTGTTTGAAGGATCGTATTAGTGGAGTGGACTTCCTGATGTTATACTCGTTTCCATCTTGTCACTATTGACAATGAAAGAAGATGGAAGTAGTCTGCTTTCAAAGAGATGGAGGTATGTGTGGACTTACATTACTGATTTGAACTTTGATGCCTCACATATTATATATGGACTAGAACTGGAAGATAAGGAACTTGAAGAAGGAAGGCCTTTTTATTTGAGTTGGGTTAATCAAGTCTTGAACTCGTACAATGGTCCAACTATAGATCAATTCATAGTTCAATTTGATCTCGATGAAACTTGTAGATTTGATATCGACAACTGGGTTAACTTTGCAAACGAAAAGAGAGTAAAAAGGCTTGATTTAGACTTGTTTCAATTTGGGAGAACCACTGAGGGTTACAATTTTCCTGACACAGACCAAATTACAAATCACCTGCATTCATTATCCCTTGGGTTTACTAGGTGCAATTCGCTGACCAATCTCCTGCTCAAAGACGTGAATGTAACTGGACAAGTTCTTGAGGACTTCTTAACTAACTGCCCATTTTCGGAACAGTTGTCTGTGGCGAAATCCGAATGTTTGGTAAATCTGAAAGTTCACTCTCTCAAATTGAAGCGCTTGGAGATAACTTACTGCTTCAATGTGGAAAGTATTGAAATTTCTGCTATGAATCTAGTGTCATTTAACTACTTTGGACCAAAAATAAGCCAACCATTTAAGACCGTCAAGGAGCTTGTTGAACTAAATATTGGGGGTGATTACTACGATTATCTAATTTATAACTTTTTTGAGATTTCAAGCTATCTTTCTCATCTAGAGAGCCTTACGTTGAACATGACCTCCGTTGAGGTTAGTTAGTTTAACTAATTCTTTTTATCTCCTCCCCTTAATTTTTATTTTATTCATTTTTTAACATAATTATCAATTTGTGCTGATTTACTATTTTTTCTTTGGTTTATTCAGAATAGTATCGAGTTTGCTAAATTTCCAGTCTTTGATAAGCTCAAGCAATTGGAGTTGAAAATTGTTGTTACAAGTAAACATCAAAGTCTTCTTGTTTTTGCTCACCTGATAGAGGCGTGCCCTTTCTTGAATAAATTTGTGTTACGGCTAATAAGTCTTACTTTACATCTCTCATTTCTAAAAATGTGAGGTTTTTTTCTTTTGAAAGTGAATTTTCAATTGGAAACTTTGATTCATTTCGACTTCGGCTTAAAAGATTTCAATTTTCCCAAGTAATTGCTTCTTTATTGCTATTACAAATGATAATTCTACCAGTAATAGGAAAAATGCTCTTACAATGTTTAAGCTTGCTCTATTCTCCCAATTGATCAAGAATTTTGTTAATGAATATATATCATTATGTTGTTCCCATGTTGATTTAATATTTCTGCCCGAGAGTTTTACATGGTCGTTCTTGCTTTATTCTCATGATTGTTCAATTACCTTAGGACCCTTTTCAAAACAGTGTGAATCCATCTCTAAAGTTGTATTCTCTTCTTCTTTGGTTTCATCATTTTGTGTCTTTGTAACGGACATGGAATACTAATGTAATCATGTTGTCATTCCTAAGCAATTAAACTTTTCTTGATTTTATTTCTTAAATGCTTGATGAATTTTATGGTTGCTCCAGCAGGGTGACTAATGTCATGAAGACAAAATATTTGATTGTAGAATCATATATATAACAGAATATGTTCAATCTATATGGAGCCTGTGGAACGTTTCGTTTTGGCTATTCTATTGAGTCTAGCAATGTCATGATTCTAACTTGTCCTGAGTTACGATTTGATACTTGGTATTTTGGTTTTGTATGCTAATGATCTACTTAAATGTATATGTCATTGTATGACTCCATTCCTCCTCGTTACAGTTGGAATTATTCAGGGAAAAGCAGGAAAGAATACGACAAAGTTTTGCGTCTCGGCCCCATCAGTATCTTAAGGTGGTGGAATTCATCGGGTTTGTTGGGCGTACAAATGATGCTGAGCTTGCTAGGTATTTAATCAAGAACGCCGTCATGCTTGAGAAGATTACTTTTGATTCTCACAGACCGTTTCTAATAGGAACTCCATGGGAGCACAAGGATACCAAGGAGAGAAAAGCAGCAAGAAAGCGTGCCAAGCATTTCCGAACCAAACTTCCTGCTAGAGTCACTACAAGAAATTCGGATTTTAGGGACAGTCCTTTAGGGACAGTTTTAAAAACTGTCCCTAAAACTTTCTTTTTTAGGCACAGTCATTTAGACCGTCCCTAAAAATTACTTTTTTGGCACAGTTATTTTGACTGTCCCTAAAAACACGAATGGCCCGTCCCCAATTCCACAAATAAATTGTGCGGGAAGCCTTGGCGCTTAATTCCCTGTTTGCCGCTAGCTTTGTTTTGCCGCTTAATTCCCTAAAATTATTTTATTTAATAAAAAAATGAAAGCTACGTCGTTTAATTTCATTACATCATATCCTAGCTATCATCAGTTCCACGACCCGCCTCAAGCCCTCACTCCCTCTCTTCCACCTCTTCCACCCTCGCAGAACACTGAAGCTCTTCTACCCTCACAGAAGACTGAAGCTTTTCCACCTTCACAGAAGACTGAAGCTTTTCCACCCTCTTCCACCATTGCAGAATATTGAGGCTCTTCCACCCTCTGAATGACCCAATCGTTCCAACATCAACTCTTACTCTTCAGGTACAACAATGTTTTTATTTTTTCAACATTTTAGGGATTATGCCTCTTTCTTCGATTTTCAGAGAACCCCCATCTTCGATTTGACATTCATATAACCAACTTCGGTTTAATGATCCTTGCCCTAGTTTTGGTCCATTTTTATTTTGATTGTTTCAGATCTGGACACATATATATGCTATTTGCAATTTGTGTTTATTTTAGGGTTTGGAAAATTATTTGTGTGTTTATTTTCGGTTTGTGATTGTTTTTGGCTTTAGTTAATGGTTTATAGTCTTAGAGGTTGATTATTATTTTTTTTTTTCCTGAACTTGTTTTTTATTTTTTATTTAGATTTTACAAAATGCAGGTGATTAAACAGCGTTTCAAAGACTTTGTCCTGTTTTTTTCTCTGTTTTTGGTTGATTTTCGAATAATTTTGGCCTCAACTATATTTTTTTTGGGCTTGAATTTTTTTGTCTGAGGGATTGTTTGTTGTTTATTTGTGTTTGAAGTTTGATTGTACATTTTTCACTGTTCCAAGCAATGAAAGAGGCAACGAATTAGGCCAAGTTGGGATGGAAAGAACTCGGATTAAAGTAGAACCTCAAGATTATGGTGACCTTTCCGGATTCCATGATTTTGGGCTGGAGAAAATTGGTAGTGATAAAGTGCTTGATGAGGGATTTTGGGAAAATTTAATGAATGAGGAGATTGAAGAAGAAATTGGTTTACTGGATGGTGAAGTAGAAGAAGAAGAAGATGTTGATATTTTAGCTGACCAGCTTGGTATATTGGATTCTATTCCAAGATAGTGTGTAGTTTATTCTAGCTTGTTAATTTTGTGTTTGTCTGCTTCAATAATCTGGTTAGGTGACACTAATATTTCTTGTGTTCTTTCTGATTTGTGTTTTTAAGAAAATTTCAGAAGGCTTTTTAGTATTGAGTGGAGGATTATAATTCATCTTGTGAAGAACGAAGCAATTCCAAGAGATTAGAAATGAAACAATGTTAGCTTCTTTCACAACGGTTGAGCGCATCTAATTTATTTATTTATTATTATTATTATTATCTTGGGAAAAAAACTTATGTACTCACTTTCTTCTCGTGGGGGCTTGAATCGCTTCACATTTTTTATTTTGAAATGTGAGAAAATATCACTCACATTAATGTTTAATTGGACATGTTTCTTTACAGATTCTTTAGAACTCAATAGAGTCTAATCTTGTTCTTGATTGAAAAAAAAAAAAAAAAAATGACACAGAAATGACTTAATTGAACTAAAAGATAAAAATGTAAAAAGATGTACAGTGAGATCCTTTATTTTCATTCGTAGACAATATTATCGAAGATGATTTAATTTATATATATTATGAATTATAACCTGCTATTTAATTTTAGTAAATGAGAAAACAAGTGCTCTTATAGTGAGTGTGAGATTCTAAAAGATAAATAGTGGGCGTAATTCTACATGTTTGATTTTTAGTTCATTTGACATCATTTTTGGAATGGGAAGTAGAAAGTATTACTTTCTATTAAGCTATCACTTTAATATCGCCTGGATTACAGTTTTTTTTTTTTTTTTTTTGTTTTGCACTGTTTGGTAATATAAACATAGTTATTAGTCACGTAAATAATCTGGTTAGGTTAATTACAACGTTAAAAGTTTGGACTATACTTAATTCTTAGAGTACTAATACAGTATGGTTTTCTTATGCTAAGTTCGTAAGACAACCGCAGTCTACATTGTCCTTGTTTGGAGATGAACCAGAATCCTCTCCTGTGCGCAGCACGGTGCCGTGCACAGGAAGAGGAAGCTTGATAGAGTGGTTTATATTAAGAGTTTGTAATGCATTCTACTTATTACAGTTGTGAGAGCTGTGTGTTTTTTTTCTCACTTGTTTTTCTGTTCTTTCCAAATGTAAGAAGTTTCTTTTGATACCATTTCTTTGTTTTCTTGTCTTTACTGAGATTATGAGCGACTTTAGTTTGTTTAAGTGCATACGAGCTGCTTTACTTCATGCTTAGACAGAAACTGAGATGCAAAAAAACTGCCCACATTCCAAATAGATATGCATTTGTGTATAATATATCAATATCTTCTTCTTCTGGCATAGTTCCTTTACACACGCGGCTTAAATACAAAAACGAGTTACCAACTGTTACCAGTTCACGTAGCAATACGTATCGTATAAGTAACCTCCTCTCTCACTCTCTCTGCTCTCATTCATTCATTACACAAATAAGAGAGACCTCTTCTCTCTCAAACCCGTCTCCTCATCTCTTTTCATCTTCATCCATTCTTTTCCTTCAAAATGCTGCCAAATCTCACCGGAGTTTCTCTCCTCCGGTGTCTCTGCGCCTCTCTCTTCCTTTTCTCCGTTGCTATCGCCGAAGACCCTTACAGGTTCTTCGACTGGAACATCACTTACGGTGACATTTATCCACTCGGAGTTCGTCAGCAGGTTTAGCAATCCTTAATTTTCAATTTATTTATTTTCTTTTCTTTTCTTCCAAACACCAGGATTGATCGATTTTTTATTTTATTTTGCAATTGTAGGGAATTCTGATCAACGGCCAATTCCCTGGTCCTGATATTTACTCTATGACCAACGACAACCTCATTATCCGATAAAATAAAAAATCTCAGTAAAGACAAGTATAATTTGAAACCATACATACGTTCTCTTCCACAATTTTGTAATGCTGGCAACTTAGTTTGTGATAAGATCATTCCTAATTTGTTAGTATTTGGTCATTGTAGTTCTATGACCCTCATTGTAAAGATCACTAAATGTTTTTTCCTACTACCTTCACAGCTGCAATCCAAAAACCTGGAAATGAAAACATTTAACTAACCTGATAAGGAAGTAATTTTCATCATTCCTAATTTCTAGTCTGAGATGATCCGAAGCCACATCTCAATCAGAAAAATCCCATCATACCACTGCCTGACAGGATTTGGGACAAATGGAAAAGCGGGTTTAAGTCAGGACTATCAGATGTGTAACCTATTGTTGATAAATTTTGATAAGTTTTCTCCCACATTTTTTGTCTTCAATAGATTAAGATTCCTTTGTGATCATTAAGAAAGTAGATGGCTAAAATAGATATCTGCCTATTTGCTACTGTGTGGAAAGGTGAGGGAAAGGGCTCCCATGAGTAGGCATATATAGTTGTATTAGCACATCTAGCTTAGTTTATTTCACCTCTTGACTTGCTTTGGTCACAAAACCAATTAAGTCCTCCATAGCTAGACCAAAAAAACAGGATCCACTTGGGTTAAACCTCTCCTACTCTGGAAAATAACTATTAAGCTCTATTGATATTTGACACTGAAAAACTAAAGCAAGCAGAAACCCAGAGACACTTTCAGGAAATTAATAACCTTCAACACCTAGATAATGGAACTTCAATCAACAATATCTTAGGCTTTCCTATTGCCATCCTTGACTACACATGTTGAACCACCACCTTAACATGTGATTGGAAGTCCCCATAATATGAATGCCTCAATTGTTAAATAGGATCATTAAGAAAAATAAGATACTTCACCATAATTTACATCCAGTGGCATCTTTACGTTTTGGTTGTGATAATTTTCATGATTTACAACATCATCTGTAAGATGGCTCCACTTTCAATTGAATTCATTCAATAAATGATCTACACAACCAAGTAACTGGATTAAGTACGTTTTGCTCTAGGTCCTCATACATGCAACCCATTCTTCATAAATTTAATTAACTTTTGCACCATATAGTTTACCATTCTTTGTTGCAAATTAAAGACTCAGTGCTGGTTCAATTATCTGTATGTCCATTATTTTTGCAAAGGTGAACATGGATTGATGAGTGTCATAAGAAAGTTTTCTTATTCTAATTGATTAAGCCCAATACTTTTTTGCATCTCAGTTTCTGTCTAAGCATGAAGTAATTTCATGTGGGTTTTATTTATATTTTGTTTGTTGTATTGTGATCTATTTTGTATATGTTTTGTATGTATCCGGAATGGTTAAATTCACAAATTAAGCATACAATATATGTATATATAATATATATATATATATATATATATATATATATATATATATATATATATATTAATGTATTAGGGACAGTCTATCCGTCCCTAATACAATAATTATAATTTACAAATAATACATTAGGGACGGTCTAATATAATATTTATAATTAAAATAATGTATTAGGGACGGTCCTGACCGTCCCTAATACTATATATTAAAATATATAATTAAAAATAATTTATTAGGGACGGTCCTGACCGTCCCTAATACTATATATTAAAATATATAATTAAAAATAATGTATTAAGGACGGTCAGACCGTCCCTAATACAATAATATAACAATATTTATAATTAAAATAATGTATTAGGGACGGTCCTGACCGTCCCTAATACTATATATTAAAATATATAATTAAAAATAACTTATTAGGGACGGTCCTGGCCGTCCCTAATACTATATATTAAAATATATAATTAAAAAAATGTATTAGGGACGGTCAGACCGTCCCTAATACAATATTATATTAAAATATATAATTAAAATAATGTATTAGGGACGGTCCCAACCGTGCCTAATACTATATATTAAAATATATAATTAAAAATAACGTATTAGGGACGGTCTGACCGTCCCGAATACAATAATATATTAAAATATATAATTAAAATAATGTATTAGGGACGGTCCTGACCGTCCCTAATACAATAATTATAATTGAAAAATTATGTATTAGGGACGGTCAATCCGTCCCTAATACAATAAATGACTGTCCCTAATTCATACTTTATTGGTGACAGTCTGGACCGTCCCTAAAATAGTTTTAGGGACGGTTCTATTAGGGACAGTTTGGACTGTCCCTAAAGGTCAAAAGTATTAGGGACGGTCAGTTTTGACCGTCCCTAAAGCTCTTTTGGCACGCAACTTTTAGTGACAGACCAATTTGACTTTTAGGGACGGATTTGGTACTTTTAGGGACAGTTTCGACTGTCCCTAAAACCTGAATTTCTTGTAGTGAGTAGCTTTAGTAATCCTATAATTCTTTGATTATATGTTACAAGTACATACTTCCTGTTGGAGCAAAATGTACTAATATCTATCTATGATCTTGTCCAAAAGTACGATCTAATTATACAATATACTATAATATTATTTATTTAAGTATTATTTGAAAATATAATGTATATATATACAATTATTATTATAAAATAATAATCTATAAATATATAATTTATTATAATATAAAGTTTAATATAATCAAATAAAATTATAAAATAAATAAATCTGATTAAAAGTCGAGGTTAGAATTTGATTCGATATTCTTAAAACAGATTTGTCCTTTTATGGTGTTAACGGATTCAGTGGCGTTTATCCTTTAGAATACAACGGCTTGTCTTCCTTTGGTAATGGCACTGCAAATCAAAGGAATAGGCGAACTGGTTCGGTGTAGTACTCTTTGACTCAAATTTGGACTCGGAGTGATTGATTAAGGCTCGAATCCAAGTACTAAGGTTTGAACTCACAGACTAAAGAGAGGAGGCTGACTAAGGCTCGAATCCAAGTACTAAGGTTCGAACTCACAAGAAGAAAATTTAGAAGAAGAGAAGAATTCTCTGAATTTTGGTTTAATTTGGAATGAATCTAAGGAGGGGTATTTAAAGGCTACATGGTGCTTTTTTCCAAATGGGTGTAACCATTGGTTCACAATGGTTTAGGAAAAATTGCAGGTTGTTTATTCTGGAAAAGGGTGCAACCATTGGTTCATAATGGTTCACATAAAATTGTTTTATGATTTTAATTTAAATTAAATACCAAAACTAGCCCAATTTCGTTTAATAAAAAATTAAACATATTTCACAATCAAGCACCGCCTTAGACTGGATCGGGTCGGGCAGCACGCGTGTGGTAGTTGGTTCGAACCCAAGCTTGCCTAGGTCCTCCCCTTATTAAAAACTTGGGTACCCTTGAGTCTAAACCCAAATCTCATACTAGGCTTATATGAACTCAATTTGGTTTTAATATTTTTTCGATGTGGGACAAACATTTATCACATTTTGCAAACCTATTTAGGCTTATCAAATTCCTTACTTTATAGCTAATTTCTCATTCACTCGGAAACGGATTTGACGAAGTAAATATACCAGGTTCATCTCCTTGCAGAGAGGAACACGCTCGTCCATAGATCCGAAAATAATTCTTAACGGAATCTATTCAAAATCTCATCCAAAGTTTATGTTTTTAATGCTCTTGTTTCTAACAAATCTATATTTACTACATATAAAAGTGTAAGAATTTTTTATTATTTATATACTTTTTTTAAATATAAAAATATGGTTTTCCTATCATTAAAAGTGTTCTTTATATATATATATATATAGAGAGAGAGTTTTGTGGAGGCCAAGAAGTTTTGCTTCGTCCCAAAATCTGATTATGGAGTAATACTTTTTTGCCTTTAGGATAAATTTGAAATTCACTCTTATCAATATGCTAAAATTATTATTAAAATCCTTCTAGCCTAACAAGTTGGGGAAGAGGGAGTAGTTTTAATGGTTTTTCCTATCATTAAAGTAAATTAAAAGTGTATTAAAATGGTCCAACAGCTTTAGCCCATCAATCCACACACGGTCTTTTAAAGCTTAAATTATTATTATAATGGTTTTGTATGCTAAAGCTTTACTTGCATTGTATGACTCCATTACTCCTCCTCGTTACAGCTTACATTTGTCAATCTCAATCACAGAAGAAAATGGCGAAGTGTGAGAACTTGGCCCCATCAGTATCTTAAGGTGGTGGAATTCATTGGGTTCGTTGCTCAAATAACCGATCTTGAGCTTGTAATGTATTTAATCACAAGTGCTCTCAATTTTGAGAAGATTACTTTTGATATTCGCAAACCCTCCATTTGAGTTTACGAAGACCAAGCAGAAAAAAGTAACAAGAAAGCGTACTGAGAAACTTTGAACCAAACTCCTTGTCGGAGCAACCTTGGTGATCCTTTAATTAGTTATATGTTTGTATAATCTATTTATTAGTACGGTTGTAAAGTGGAGAGATTTTATTTATTTATTTATTATTATTATTATTTTAATAATAATAATAATAAATGGCTATGCATCATTAGCACGGTTTCTTATCCATATTTATAAAAGAAACACATTAGCAAATCCTTCTGTATTTCCCAACACGCATGAAGAAATAAGCCTATCAATGCTTTTTTTTTTTTCCTTTTCTGATATGCCCTGAAGCAAAACCTGTGATTATTCTATTTTTCTCTAGAAAAACGACTTGGACCAGATTTATGTAGTACACTTAAAATCTAGGATGACTGTGAGGATGTGAATGAATAATACATTATAACATATTTGTGAAAGAAATTTGTTGTGATATTTATTACTTACCGTTCAAGTCAACTTTATTTTTTAATTAATTTAAATTTATTGGCGTGAATTCACAAATTGGAAGTTTTTTTTTTTTTTTTTTTAATAGAAAATTTGACAGATTAATTTACAAATTTATATATTTATTTATTAAACGTCAATAATTATCCTTTATAATTGAGAATTATTTTATTTGCCTTCATCACGTAATGGTGGTGGTGGACTATGCAAGATGAAAAAACCGCGTAAGGCCCTGAAAACTGGTTAACTGAAAGCCCAATGGTATTTTACTAAGTATTCTCCATATAAAAAGGTTGAGCCCAACTCACATCATTTCATTGGCAAGCCCAAAAACTTAATTCATTAACCAATCTCACAACCCTTAGATTTAAAAGCATCTCAACCGTTGTCGAGACATAATAATAACCTGTGTCAGATGAGATGTTCAGTTCCGAGCCCAACTCTCTCTCTCTCTCTCTCTCTCAAGGATGATGATCTGAAGGCGCAAGATTTTGTAAATTTTTGTTTCTATCATGAAAATCCCCTCTGTAAATTTTCAGAGACAAAATAGGAGTAATCTACAAGATCTTGTAAGTTTCATTATGAAATTTTGTTCTGTAAATTTCCTTTTTCCTTCTGGTGAGAAACAAAAGATCGGATTTTTTCTTTATTTTTTTTAAGAATCAGCAAAATAGGAGGAATCTACAAGATCTTGTAAATTTGTTCCGTAAATTTTCTTTTTCCTTCTTGTGAGAAACAAAAGATCGGTTAAACCAGTATTATTTATTTAGTTGCCTAATCCTAGTAGGAAACATACTACAGAATTACTACTTTCCAAGTTGGTAATAACCCAATTTAACATCACTTTCCAGACTCAATCTAACGCCCTTAATCTATATAAAGTTGTTTTCTTTTCCAGACTCAACACAAAATTGCTCTCGCTCTTTTTTTTCTTTTGCTCTCTTTTTTGGTTTTTATATCTCTCTAATCAGTTCATCTTCTCCTGCTGCTATCTCCTATTGGATCTGCAGAATTATTTGTTAAAATTATGCAGAAAACTGTAAGTTCAAATCCCATGGAGAAAACCACCTCAATATGTTGTGCTCAAAACGCAAGGTACCATCTTTTTTAACTTCTGTATCTATGGATTTCTATGCCTCTTTTATATTTTTTATTTTTAAATAAATGAAGATATTTTGTTACAAAAATTCAGCACTACTATGGTGTTTCTGTTAACTCACAGTTTTTTAATTATTTTTATTATTTTAATCTTTTATTGGAATCTTTTATTGGAATAGTGAGAAGGATGATAAAGGAGGAGGGTTGTGTTTGGAGGATCGCATTAGTGGACTTCCTGATGTTATACTCGTTTCCATCTTGTCACTATTGACAATGGAAGAAGCTGGAAGAAGTAGTCTGCTGTCAAAGAGGTGGAGGTACATGTGGACTTACATTGCTTCTTTGAACTTTGATGCCTCACATATTATAGATGGTCTGGAACTGGAAGAGAAGGAACTTGAAGTAGAAAGGCCTTTGTATTTGAGTTGGGTTAGTCAAGTCTTGAACTCGTACAATGGTCCAACTATAGATCAATTCAGAGTTCAATTTGATCTCGATGACACTTGTAGATTTGATATCGACAACTGGGTTAACTTTGCAATCCAAAAGAGAGTAAAAAGGCTTGATTTAGACTTGTATCAATTTGGGAGAACCACTGAGGGTTACAATTTTCCTGACACAGACCGAATTACAAATCACCTACATTCATTGTCCCTTGGGTTTACTAGGTGCAATTCGCTAACCAATCTCCTGCTCAAAGACGTGAATGTAACTGGACAAGTTCTTGAGGACTTCTTAACGAACTGCCCATTTTTGGAACAATTGTCTGTGGCAAAATCCGAATGTTTGGTAAATCTGAAAGTTCACTCTCTCAAATTGAAGCGCTTGGAGATAACTTACTGCTTCAATGTGGAAAGTATTGAAATTTCTGCTATGAATCTAGTGTCATTTAACTACTTTGGACCAAAAATAAGCCAGCCATTTAAGACCGTCAAGGAGCTTGTTGAACTATATATTGGGGGTGATTACTACGATTATCTAATTTATAACTTTTTCGAGATTTCAAGCTATCTTTCTCATCTAGAGAGCCTTACGTTGGACATGACCTCCGTTGAGGTTGGTTAGTTTAACTAATTCTTTTTATCTCCTCCCCTTAATTTTTATTTTATTCATTTTTTAACATAATTATCAATTTGTGCTGATTTACTATTTTTTCTTTGGGTTTATTCAGAATGGTATCAAGTTTGCTAAATTTCCAGTCTTTGATAAGCTCAAGCAACTGGAGTTGAAAATTTGTGTTACAAGTGAATATCAAAGTCTTCTTGTTTTTGCTCTCTTGATAGAGGCGTGCCCTTTCTTGAATAAATTTATCTTACAGGTAATAAGTCTCATTTCTAAAAATGTGAGGTTTGTTTCTTTTGAAATTGAATTTTCAATTGGAAACTTTGATTCATTTGGACTTCGGCTTAAAAGATTTTCCCAAGTAATTACTTCTTTATTGCTATTACAAATGATAATTTTACCAGTAATAGGAAAAATGCTCTTACAATGTTTAGCTTTGATCTAGTCTCCCAATTGATCAAGAATTTTGTTAATGTTGTTCCCATGTTGATTTAATAATTCTGCCCGAGAGTTTTACATGGTCGTTCTTGCTTTATTCTCATGATTGTTCAATTACCTTAGGACCCTTTTCAAAACAGTGTGAATCCATCTCTAAAGCTGCATGTATTCTCTTCTTCTTTGCTTTTATCATTTTGTGTCTTTGTAACGGACATGGAATACTAATGAAATCATGTTGTCATTCCTAAGCAATTAAACTTTTCTTGATTTTATTTCTTTAATGCTTGATGAATTTTATGGTTGCTACAGCAGGGTGACTAATGTCATAAAGACAAAATATTTGATTGTTGAATCATATATATAACAGAATATGTTCAATCTAAATGGAGCCTGTTTTGGCTATTCTATTGAGTCTAGCAATGTCATGATTCTAACTTGTCCTGAGTTACGATTTGATACTTGGTATTTCGGTTTTGTATGCTAATGATCTACTTAAATGTATATGTCATTGTATGACTCCATTCCTCCTCGTTACAGTTGGAATTATTCAGGGAAAAGCAGAAAAGAATACGACAAAGTTTTGCGTCTCGCCCCCATCAGTATCTTAAGGTGGTGGAATTCATCGGGTTTGTTGGGCGTACAAATGATGCTGAGCTTGCTATGTATTTAATCAAGAACGCCGTCGTGCTTGAGAAGATTACTTTTGATTCTCACAGACCGTTTCTAATAGGAACTCCATGGGAGCATGAGGATACCAAGGAGAGAAAAGCAGCAAGAAAGCGTGCCAAGCATTTCCGAAAGAAACTTCCTGCTGGAGTAGCTTTAGTAATCCTATAATTCTTTGATTATATGTTACAAGTACATACTTCCTGTTGGAGCAAAATGTATCAGTATCTATCTATGATCTATATTTACTACATATAGAAGTGTAAGAATTTTTCACTCCCTCTATCCCAAAATAAGTGTCATGCTTTCTTTTTTTATCTGTCCCAAAATAAGTGTCCAGCTTCCTTTTTTAAACAATATATTTCACAATTTTTCATATATGTCCTTTTAAGTTTTAAATTTCAAACTTAAACATTCGAAACTTAAAAGGGCAATTTAGTAACTTTCTAGGGTGACAAGGCATGTTCCATATGTCCTCTTAAAAATTACTACTCTCCAAACATGACACTAAATTTGGGACGGAGGGAATATTATTTATAAACATTTTTTAAATATAAAAATAAGGTTTTTCTTTTATTAAAAATGTTCTTTATATATATATATAGTTTTGTGGAGGCTACAAAGTTTACTCCTTGCTTCGTCCCAAAATCTGATTACGGAGTGGTGCTTTTTTGCCTTTTAAAAAGGTTAAATTTGAAAATTCACCTCTTATCAATGTACTAAAAATATTGTTAAAATCCTTCTAGCCTAACAAGTTGGGGAAGAGGGAGTAGTTTTAATGGTTTTTCCTATCATTAAAGTAAATTGAAAGTGCATTAAACAGCTTTGGCCCATCAATCCACGCATGTCCAGGTTAGTCCAACAAAAGGATAAAAGAAGAAATGTCACAGCAAATGAATATATATAGATACATATATCATTTTTGTTCACTACTTGGAACATTGTGTGTATGTATATCATTATTATATACATTTTATGGCTTTTTATCAAATAATATTGCGAAGAGATCCCTGAAGTTGAACTACGTAGTTAGTTTCACACTTCTAACTACATGAATTTGTTCACTGTCTGTTCCTGATTCAACTTTCAATCCTATATGGGTTTGCCATTTCATGACGCCGTGATTTCATGCCGAATGGTGGACTATATACTTTATATATATAGACATACATATATAAATCATGTTTGTTTTGAATATCTAAAAATAGGAATTACATGTTCACTCTCTAATTTTAAGAATAATTTTGCATCTAGCACAGATCTAGAATGGGTATTTGATTTTATGTTATTGTTCTATAATTATTAGTTCTACCTTATATCTCTATCATGGTGTGTGATCAAGATGAAGCAACTTGAAAACAAAGCAATTGAGTATTGGATTTGGGGTCGTGAAGACCTTGAAATCAAGCAGGAGAACAATTGTTTGTTGGATTTGGGTTTGCCTTTCTCAGAATGTGGCTTTGGATCATATATATATATATATATATATATATAGTCCTACTTTATATTTCGCCATGGTCATGTGTGATTAAGATAAAGCAATTTGAGAGCAGAGCAATTGATTGTAACCCTATTGGATTTGGGTTTGCAAAGAACTTAAAAACAAGCCGGAGAATAATTGATTGTTGGACTTGGATCATAAGAATGACTTAGAATGATGTTAGGGTTTATTCAATTAATTGTTTTTTGTATTTGTATAAATTTTAAATTTTGACCAAGGCACATGGGACACTACCTTCACTTTAGTGCTGCCCAGGTTACAACATACTCACCGCTTATATAGACCAATAATAAATTGATATGATTTTTAATTACCAAATCAAAGATGATAGGTAGATATTCACTTACCAAATTAGAGATAATGATTTGATTACCATTTATGATTTGGTAATTAAAATAGTACGTGTCAATTTATTATTAGTCCACATTAACCGTAAGTATGTTGTAGATCCTCACTAATAAGGATCTAAGTGTTGTTCTATAAAATATAAACATAGATATTTTAATGTATACAGCTAGGGGAGGAGGGGAAAAAAAAAAACCTGGGGTATATAGCTTAATTAAAATTAATCAAATGGAAAACAGGGGTAAAAAAAGCATTTAAGCCTTAGTTATTATGCGTATATAATTACTGCCAGTGAGAGTAAAGTAACAGCGGCTCAGTGGGCTTGGGCAATTGGAGCTTGGGTAATTGGGCCTTGAGTGGGATAAATTGGATATCAGATGAAATATTGGGTCGAAGCAGGTTTAAAACTTTCAAACCTAGGGATTATTTCTCATTCATGGTGTGGACCCATATTTACTCATTCGAGGGAGTCAAAGTCATAATGCCTAAAAAAAATTTTAATTGATCAAGATGTTGAAGTGAAAATAGAAAAGTACCATGCATTTGCCCAAATTACCCTATTATTTTCAAATATTACTTTTGTTTTGAACATAGAGGTACCACTTTTATACACATAGGTATCTCTTGTTGTGTACAACATAAGTGTCTCTTGTTGTACCAGTTGTGCAAGCACATACCACTTTTTGTTGTCGGTATCATTTTTTTGTGTTGTAGAAAAAATGGTGTGCATAAAAGTGATACCTTTATGTCCAAAATAAAAGTGGTACATAAAAATAGTAAGGGTAGTTTGAACAACAAATAATGCTTTCCAATATATACATCAGCATTTTAACTTCAAAAAATATGACTTTGATTCTATCAAATGATAAATATGGATTCATAAATCCATATATTTGTAATAATCCTTAAAACCTACTTACCCATTAAAGCGAATTAAAAAAAAAAAAAAGAAAAAAAAAAAAAAAAAAGAAAGAAAAGAAAAGAAACTTCACTTACCATATATGGAGTAATAAATTTACTAGACTTACAAAGACACGAAAAGTACAAGCAAACCCTAATTCAACTTAGAGTATGAACGAGCCCGTTTGTTTTATAGGTTAAGTTGTCCTCTTTTCTTCTCTGTGCAGAACAAAAAGTAATTCTTATTTTCATCTTGGATCTGCATATTTATTTGTCAAGTGCCATGGAGAAAAGCACAAGACCCGCCTCAATATTTGCTAAAAACGCAAGGAAGAAATTTACATCTTTTTTACTTGTGTATGGATTTGTATGTTTATATATATATATAAACAAATTTTGTTACAACATAGTGGGCCTCCAAGCCCGGTGTCCAAAATTTTTAGAGGCTCCTGTTTCAAACTTTTTAAACCTACTTGCCAAAACGGAATTCAAAAAAATAATAATAATAATGTTTCAAAATTCCCATCAGGAGGTTGTAAGAAGGGTACACATAAACAATGACGAAGTTCTCTTCCAGGTTCCGTCGTGTAACACATACGAGCAGCTCGACAACTCCAATAGGTTCCACTCTCTTACCGTCAAACCTACCAAAGGATTCCCTGTATAACCTGCTTGGATCTATCATCAATTGCTAGAATGCCACCTTGGTTATGATATTGGTGTTGCTGCCAAGATCCATCAAAACCCTTTTGATCAGGCAATTCGACACCGTTAGGTTGATCACCAATGAGTCCCCATGTGGTGTCTGTATCCTCTGAAGGTCATCCTTGTCGAATTTGATTAAGGCCACGTCCTTGTCTTGGCAGACCATATTCACGCTCCCTATCATTCTTATCTTGTGAGCTTGCCTGAGTCGCGTTCATCTTAATTCCTCTTACTTGTCCTCGGGTTTAGGTTGCCCATGAATCGCATTAATTATGCTGACTGGCTGTCCCTCGTGAGGGGTCGCCCTTGCATTCTGCTTTGGGTGATCATCCTGGAGGTTCTAATCCTTATCCTAGACATAGTTGGCCAAGTCTCTCTTTGCAATTCGCATCTCAACTTGCCTCCTCAAGTTCCTACACTCATTTGTCTGGTGTCCGATGTCACTATGGAACGAACAGTGCTTGGATTGATCCCTTTGTTCGATCGGCTGTCTGATTGGTTGAGATGCTCAGAACATCCCTTTATTCTCTTGATATAGCCGTGCCAAAATGATCTTGAGTGGTGTGACTATCTCATCCTCTCGTTGCCTCTTTTTTGTCTTCCAAGGCGTCATTCGGGGTTGTGTTATTAGGGCGTCTCTGAGTAGTTATCTTTGCTCTTGACTTGTTTTCCATTGTAACCATTGTGGTCCTCTTTGTATTGATTGCCTCATCCTCCTTGAGATGCGCGTAGCCTTGCGCTCTTGAATGTTTGTCTATAGTCTTAAGCATCGCCACTACCAAGAACGTATAAAACTAAGTCCCTCTAGTCATGGCGAGTTTAAACGCCTGTGCTGCTGATGATAGGTGGCAATCAATCACTATGCTCATTTCCAGATTAAATCTGGTGACAAAGGCCTGAAGGCTCCCCCCTCTTACTGCCTCATAGTGAAAAGACATGATATATCCTTCTCAATCCACCGGTTACCAAAGTATTGACCTATAAATAAGTTGTAAAGTGTCCGAAAGCTTCCAACCGACCCCCTCGGTAAGTGCTTGAACCAATTGAGTGCAGGTCCAACGAGGCTTGTTAGGAAGACCTTACACATCAGGGCGTCGTCCTCGGTATCCAGGGCCATCTTCAGCTGGATCTAATAGATGTGCCTGGTTGGGTCCTTCGTTCCGTCGAACAACGTGAATATTGGCATTGAAAACTTCCTGGGTTTCGGCAATTTCAATATCTCTTCTGTGAACGGTGAGTCGACTGTCCGGGCCGATGATCGATTAGATTCAATGATCGCCGAGGGTTCCCTCTGGTCCAATTACTACTCCGGTGGCTCTCCAATCACGAGTACTCACTTCTGACTGGGGCAAATCATCGAACACCTTGTTTGCAATTAATTTTTTCTGGCATGATGGAACAACTTCACCGTGTTCCACCTCCTCCTCCGGTCAGGGCATTCTGTGCTGAGGGTCCAAATAGACGGATCGTGCTCTCTTTGCCTGCCGGTTAACGTTTGTTAGCTCCACTCACTCATCTGCAACTGGTGGGCGAAGGAGCGGTGGAGCGTCTCTCCATTCCATTCTGGATCTCAGCTCAACGTTCTCCTTTCATAGAGTCTCCACGATCTGCATCAGGTCGTCATGCCTAACCCGTTAGTCTTCTTCGTGCTGGCGGGAGCCTTCCTCTCCGATCATAGTTCCCAATCGGAACTGTGTCATTTGTTGTTAAAATTAATGAATCCTTCTATCATTCCCACAGACGGCGCTAGATGAAGATGCAAGAAAATGTCGTTCTATATTAGGAAAAGATTTTCTCACACTCCAAATAATCTTCCTTTCTTTCCTTCTCTAGCTTCTATTTATAAAAGCTTACACTTGCCCTAATTTCTTACATTTT